TGGTATTTGCTATTATAACTCACCAAAACACTTTCCAAAGGAAAAGGAGGAGAAATTAAACTCCTTTTTTTTTTTCTCACATAAATGGAGGAACCATCCAACCCGAGGGGCATTCAACCCATGCCATTTCTAAGACTGCAGCCGTCGATATATTTATTAATAAATAAATCACCACGCAATTTGCTTCCAGCCCAGTACGCCTCCTTTCCATACCTACTGGGAATCCATATGCTTGTTGATTCGAGTGAATTAAAAATGGCACCAATCAAAGGAGCAAGGGCTATTTAACAGCGCCTTTCCTTGTGTCCCCAGTCTGCGCCGTCTCACACAGAACCTCGTTTCTTGTCACTCCGCTGTGAAGAACAGCAGGCCACAGCCATTCAGGCTGTCCCATCAACTGTGAGTTTTAATTTGAGCCACTTTCACATTAGGAAAGCAAAAAAAAAAAAAAAAAAAAACCCTTACTTTTTCCGCCAACCCATCTTCACCCCGTGTTGCACCACCTAAAGCTTTCAGGCGATGCTCTACTCCGGATCAAGCCAAGCATATCAAGTGTGCCCGCAACACTCACAGGCTAATGAACAATGCACAAAAACAAAAGGAACAGCAAGGCTCCTATTATCTGATCTTCCGTAAAACACAAAAACTGCCTTCTCTGGTGCAGAGGAAGTGCCAGGAAGCCTGCAGGTGTGAGCCAGTTAAAAGAAAACGCTTGGGCTAAATAGATTCTTTGACTGTCAGGGATTAGAGTCATGGCACTAGTGGTAACACACATCTTTTCCTTTAATTCACAAAATTTTCTCACGAGTCTGCAAGAGTTCACCCCATCAGGGGCTTTCAGAGGCCATTGAAATGTCTTAAGTTTTAATTAAGTTGGAGTTGTCAGAAGAAAGCTTTTTTGGCACAGAGTCAGGGTCATTAATTACTGCTATCTTTGTTTCTTTCTGTAAAGAGAACTCTGCTGACTTGTTGGGTTACTTACCCAGCCTACATTTTCTACCCTACAGCTCCCATTCGCTTCCAAGTGGGACTTGATTAAGTAGTTTACCAATTACTTCCATCAGTTTTTGGTACAAAGCATTTACACAATCTTAAATCTTAAAAAAAAAAAGCATTTCTCATTAGTGGTTTAGGGAAGAATATTAATAGCAAATTCATCTAGTAAGTTATCAAGCAGCTGGATTCTTGCATGGATTTTTGCATTTAAATATAAATATCCTCACATTTTTCACATCCTTATCTATTCAACACACCTATTCATATTCTCACAGCCTGGGACTTTGCCTTCTAGGCAGTGCTCATCAATTTTAAAATTATTTCCTATCTCCCCATAATACAGAACTCTGGCTGGAAACATCCAGTTTTGCCTGATATCTTTTCAATCAGGCAAATGTTTTTATTATTTCTGGATGAAATCGGCTGCCACTGTCACTGATAATCTTTTGCAGATGTAAAAAAGTAGAAGTTTTTAGGTAATTTGTTAGTATGCTTAATATAACCCTAAAATAAGTTTTTAGCTATTTGGATCAAGTACTCAGCCCACTACAGATCTTTTAGAATTGATTGTTTTGTAAAAAATTTTTCAAAGTTCTAAAATACTACACAGACCTGAATATGTTTTTTATATATATATATATATATATATAATTAATATAATATATATATTATATATAATATAATATAATATATAATATATAATATAATAAAATAAATAAATAAATATATAATACAAATAAAATAATTAATTAATATAATTAATAATATATATATATATATATATAATTAAGTATATAAAAGTCAGGAAAATCATATTTCTTTTAAAAAAAATCATGACTTGAAATTCTGGTATTTATGAGAAAGCACACTATATTGAGATCATTTGCTTTGAAGAATTTCCCTTACAGCTTACAGTATATTTTTTGTATGTGTCCCTTGGAAAGATTATACACAATTTCTCATTCTTCCACTTCATGGCAAAACAGCAAAAGCGAAACAGTTTATTTAAGATTCAGGAGTGAGAATGAAGTTGAAGAACTGTCTCAGAGATATAACATAAAGTAAACGTGAATCACGACAGATAGATTTCTATCCACCAATATGGCTAGAATTAGTCGTGGAACTTAATAACATCTACTTTTAAATCTGAATGAAATGGATGGGAAAAGAGTTACAAACCTGGGCAAATTCAATTGCCAGAATCACCCGTTTCTTCCTGATGAACATATGATACCACTTCCAAATATTTTTCGCCCAGTAATCTCATCGTCACCCGCCATGATTCACAATAACAGACGCGTTACACCAAATACCTGCCGTTTCAGACCTGGGGCCCTGAATGCCATAATAGCGCTCATCACTGTAATGATAATGACTCATCATTATCTGATGATTCTCAGATGAGAAACTTCTGAGCCCAGAATTTGGACCAGACTCCAGGGTAGGGAAAGCCAAACAACCAGTGTTTTCATTCATTCAGGTCCAAAAATGGGTGGCTTTGGAA